CCTTGGTCTTGCCCATCCATCAGAAAAGTATAAAAACAAAATATAAGAAGTAAAGCCATGCTGTTATGTTGAGCTGTAGGGGACTCAGATCAACAACTTCTGACATTGCCAATCAAGCAGAAGACCCAATACTATTATGGGCTACTGGACCCTTTTAGAATATTTTGCTGAGTTTACACACCTATAATATTCAAATAATGGAACTTAACAAAAAAGGGTATACAGACGATTGTGTCTGTTTATTCAACGTGGTTTTGATAGATATATAGTTACATTCTCTTAATGAATAGAATGACTCTTGTACAGCAATTAACCACTAGCAAGAAAGTATGCAGTGTGTTAATTATTGATACTGTCTTTCCGATTTGATTTGCAACTGTCTCTTTGCTATTTGTTTATCAATAAAATTATGGGAAAAATAAGAAAGAAAGTGGGGAAAAGCTACATGGATTCTATGTTATTTTCTTACAACTGATTGAATCTATAATTACGTCAAAATAGGATGTTAAAAGTATTTCTAGGGGCCGGGGAGATGGCTTAGTGGAATAAGCGCTTCCCTGGCAAGCGCAAGGGCCTGAGTTTAATCCCGGTTCCGCAAAAATAAAAAAAGTATTTCTTAAAATTACACATATAGCAACCGTACTATTGGCTCTTTACTATGTGGTAATTACTCTTGTAAGCACCATTAAGTGGATATTGTCCACTTCACAATGCTAATTGCAATACCAAAGCACAAACACATTGTCACTTACCCACAATCTCTCAGCTCTTAAATAGCGGAACTAGCATTCAGACCCATTAGTCTCACTCCAAAGGTAGAACGCGTAACCACTCTGCCATGCTCCTGCATATCTGTCTTTATAGTGTACCTTCATTCTTGCTCTTAATTCCATTGTAATTTAGCTTCCATCTCAATCATTCCTTTGAAATTGCTCTTGCTTGGATCAAGACATCAACAGATAAGGGCCGGCAAAATAGCTCAGGGACTAAGCACTTGCTTAGGTAAGTGCAGGGGCCAGGGTTTGATCCCTGGTGTGGCATGCTGCACTGGCCCTGTTCCCAGGTGTAGTGAGCCGGTGATGGAGTCTGGTATGGTGACACACGACTGTAATCCCAGCACTAGGGAAGCAGAAATCAGGAAAATCACTGAGTCCAAGCTGCCTAGTAAGACGCTGCACACACACACACACACACACACACACACACACACAGAGAGAGAGAAACCTAAAACAAAAGACAAATCTGATGGACATTTGCTTTCTGCAGCCTTTGATAAAGTGAATGTATTCAACAAATATATACTGATCACAAACAATGCGAGAGAGTAACTAAGATTGGCCAAACAATTATCACTGAAGAATGCACTTGTTACAGTTAGAGAATCAGAAACTTTAAGTCCTTTTCTTATAAGCACTGCCAACTTCTTTGTGGATGGTTAGTGATCCATGTTGTTGTCTATTACCTTTATTTTTCTGTGGCTAAAACAGATCTTTGTGATTTCACAATATAAGGAAACATTATATTTATGTACCTATATTTTTTGCTTTTGCCTTCTTGAATATAAAGTTAACTAAATCTTGAAATACTACTTTTCTTACATAATCATAAATGATGAATTATGAAAAAATTATTTACCTTTAACCTTTTAACCTATTTTTTCTGTATGAGAATAATTTGAACTAATTTGATGTTCTTTATTTTGGAAACATCAGAAATATCTCCACAGAATATTAAGTTTCATACCATATGTCTTAATAAAAGGATACTCCAAGGAAAATACTTGCTCATAGAGACATGGTGGTAGCTCTTTGCATATCACCAAAGCTAAGCATTTGAACCAGAGATGAAGGGAAGCAGCCGTCTTGTCTAGAGATTCCACATGGTTATGTTCTGTTTTCATTCCTTTCCCCCAATTCAGTAAAAGGGGAAACAAATTCTTCTATACATCTTCATGCCAAAACATAGCCCTTGATGGATTAATTCTAATGGGAATGCATTTGGCGTGAGGATTGGAACCAACCCTAATCCTGCTGCTTAAATTCTGGGTTACCATTTTTGGCTGATAGCTGTTTGTTTATAGCAGCAGTTAGCAATTTGCTTGGACACTGCAGTCAAAGTCACTGCCCTCAGTGAAACCCATATGGCTCTTGGAAGAAAGATAACAGATTCAGCCTAGCAACTTACTAAACTTTAAAAGTGATTCCTTGTCAAACACGTGAAAAACAACTCTTCCCTCTCTACAACTTCAGGGGAATAAAAACAAGAAGCTATCTTACACCAGATGGCAATGAAACAGTGCAGTGCTCGTTCAGTTTCGTTCCTTTATGTCCCTGTTGCAAAATCCACAAAGAAAACATTTGGGGCCACTTTGCAGCATTGGCAACAGTCTCTGTTTTTTAAGGAAATCATATGGACACAAAAAAGCCATTGTTGGAGAGTAAAGAATTTCCAAGACTGAAAAATGGGATGTACAGTAGTTAGACAGTGCCCTAGACCCAGGAATCATCCCAATTGTTGCCAGGCTTGGTTATTTGACTAAATTTGATTTGAACAAAAATGTATTGGGGACAGACTAAAGCACAGGGACCAAGGTTCGATTGCTGGTGTGCCATACCAGCCCTGCCCCTGGAGCAGGCTGAGACTGGGCATGGTGGCATGTGCCTATAATCCCAGCACTTGGGAGGCTAAAAACAGGAGGATTACTATGAGTCTGATCTGTATAGTGAGACCCTGTAGTCCCTGTACTAAAAAACGCATTAAAAAAAGTATTAGAGAAAGTTTATATTTTTTCTACTTAGACCTCTTCTATTAGAGAGAGAGAGAGAGAGAGAGAGAGAGAGAGAGAGAGAGAGAGAGAGAAACAGAGAAAGAAGAAGAGGAAGAACTAGAAATTATGAAAATACGCTTTGGAGTGGTGGGCTGATAAAATTATTCCTAACTTTCAAATCTCTAGAGCTAAGTATTTGATCTTAGCTCTAGATCAAATGGTGTGTTACCATTTACATGTAAGGTATTATTGCTATTTTCATGTATTTAAAGTCTAGCTAGAAAGGAAGGACCTGGACTGTGTGTGTGTGTGTGTGTGTGTGTGTGTGTGTTCTTAACAAATGGACTTTTTAAAGGTACAGTGAATGCATCAGGACATAATGAAACCCTTTCAATGAGATGTAGCAGACCCTGGTCACTCCTTTCGTGGAGTATTATGGAGAGAACTTAACACTACATTGATAGGTGTATCAGTTGGCTTTTATAATTTCTTCTTTACCTAAAATTCTATCATGGTCACAGTTCAACCCCCTTTACCTGTCCTTATTTTAATAATCTTGACTTCAGGTATTCTCAGCCATTTACAATAATACCTGTTACTCTTTAGTCTTGCTTATAAGCAACAAATTATTGGTCACCTTTGTTAACATTGTGTCATTTCTTTAGGTGTCTGAACACACACAGTTAAGTTGGATCCTTACATGCATGGTCAGACTCCCTCGATTACAACATTTACACCAGTGGAAGGTAAGTGCCAGTGATCTGATCAATAAACAGAAATTGATCCATTTTCCACTTTCTGCTTATTACTCTGCTGGCTCTGGGAATCCTGAGTCATCTTTCCTCCCTGCTCTACTACCCATGAATGGCTACTGCAGCATCATTCTGTGCGTCAGGATATTAAGTGGAAAATGAAAGGGTCTACAAGATTCCTTCTGCTTACAAATACTATTAACTATACCTTCTTATCTGTGTTTGGAGTCAACTTGGTGATTATTTTGTACCTACCACAAAATACTTAACAAGTACCCAGTTTCTGGATTGAAATCCCAAAGCTTCAAACCTTAAAGTCCGGATTTGAACCTCACAGTTGCTTCTCATTTCCACAGTAAATAACTGGCAATAAGGCAAAAGTATTTCCATTGCAGGGAGAAGAGAAAACATATTTTATTTAATATTTAAGCACACTCAATCTAGGAAAAATTTCAAACCCACAGAAAAAGTAACATGTATTTTTGTAAGTTGTTCAACTGAGAAAGATAACTCAGATAATTCATAACGCTTTACATCCACTTATTTTTACAATTGGATAACTTAATGGTAGATGGCGCCCAACTATGTCAACACTAATTTCAGTTTCAAGCACCTTTGAGCATATTTTCAGGGTCTTGGGTTTTCTGAGAAGTTGTTCTTTAGAAGCCTTTACGTATGCTGCACAAACAATAGGTAGCCTGGTTATTTGTGTCTCCCTAAAATTCACACATTGAAATCTAAGTCCCCCAAAGATAGAGCCTTTGCGAGGTGATCATGAAAGTAGAACTCTCATAAAAGGTGTAGGGAACCCACAAAGATTTTCTTGCCACTTTTATCCTGTGAGGACACAGAGAAGGCACCACTGAGAAGCCAAAAAGTAGGCCCTCTGGGAGTGCTGGCTTTGCCTTCATCTTGGATTCCCAGCCTCTGGAACTACAGGACATGCATATGTGTCGTGTGTAAGCCCCTTGTGTACATTATGTTTTGTTATAGAGGCCCAGGAAGACTAAGACACTAAATAAAGAAGATAGTATTGATAGTGCTGCATATTCATTACCTGCCAGGAATTTAAAAACAAAAAGTTTTGTAACATTCTCTACCATAGTTTGGTTTACGCAAATCTTTCCCATTTTATCATCATAATCTAAGTTTAATGCTGAAAGCGTTTTTTTTTTTTTTTTTTAAATAGGAAGTGAATGTTAATTTAATAGGAACTGTTCCCCCTAACTTTTTTTGTGTGAGTGGTACCAGGGATCAAACTCAGGACCTTGCGCTTGCTGGGCAGGCACTTTAGCCACTGAGCTATCTGCCTGGCCCTCCGCCTTGAAAATTTATTTGAAAGTGTCCTCTGATTACATGTTACTAGTAAACGAGTTAATTTCAGGAGAATCTCTCATACTAGCCAGTGGTTTCTTATTTGTAGGAAACAGCAATTTCAAATCCCAGCCTTGTCTTAGTACATGTTATTGTCTTCTGTGGTCAAAACATCATTAACAAATTCTGGTGATAATTTCTACAAATCTTATGTCATGATAGGTGCTAGAGATATAATAGTTGGCATAACAGACAGACAGATGGATGGATGTATTTATAAAGACAGTGAAACAAGTAATAAATTTTGAAAAATTGTGTAAGAGCAGGATTCTAGTGCCAGGAGAACCAGTAAGAGCTCATTTGCTCTTCTCCAAATTAAACTTTCATAATCTTTTTTTTTTTTTTTAATGTATTTGGTACAGGATCTCAATATGCAACTTGGACTTGTAGTGATCCTCCTGTTTTCAGCCTCCCCACTTTTGGGATTACAGGCGTGCGCCACCATGCCTGTCCTGGTTTCAGTGGCTGGCCCAGGATGCCAAGGGGTGGGACCAGCATGGCATGCGGTGCCTGGGATGGAACCCTGGTCCCTGAACTTGACTAAGCAGGCACTTAACCCTTCATAATCTTTACTCAGTGAAAATTGTGAACTCACTTTTATCATGAATATAGTAAAACAGGGCATCCTAACTTATGTTCCCTTATAGAAAGTCACTTTCTTGATAAGTTCTGACCTTATCTGTGAAATCTAAACTTTAACTGAGCTAGAAAATTTCTCTGTCTTCAGTAAAATAAATAATAAATAGTTGGGGCCGGGGAGATGGCTCAGTGGAATAAGCGCTTCCCTAGCAAGCACAAGGATCTGAGTTCAATCCCCGGTTCCACCAATAATAATAATAATAATAATAATAATAATAATAATAATAATAAATAGTGATAGTTCAGGATCTTTTCCAGGGATGAGTGACCAGAGGTGCTTTTCAGTGGTAGAATGTATATATAACATGAACAAAGCCCTGGGCCCAGGACCCAGCATAAATGAATGAATGGATGGACAAATGAGTGAACAGTGGTAAAATAGAGTCTCCTTATTCTTACATAAGCCTAGAGCCTGAAAGCAGTCCTACCAGAAAATATTTGCTAAAAGGAACTGAGGTTATATGTTATCACAGGTGGCATCGGATAATTCTTCACTTTACTTTACAATCTTAATTAGGATCAACTCAGATTTCTTCCCCTTTTCTTTTCATCCCTCACAGGTGAAGTCTACCCAGCAGAAACAGGACGGCATGATGGGTCTGCTCACATACCCAGTCCTCCAGGCAGCCGACATTCTAGCCTACAAGTAAGAAAAAAGGCCACCTCTGGCCTCACACAGACTGATGACAAGAGAGTGTATTAACTCATAAAACAAAGGTTAGGTCCATGAGAAAGGGAAGACATAGAAAGGATCAGACCTATGAATCAGTTTCTCTATATCTTAGTGATAGGAACTAAATCATAGAAGTATGCTTCAGTGAGAAAATGGTAACATTAAGAGCTAATACTTGAATATTATAGACTATGTATTTGAAACACCATGAGAACTTTATATACCTTAATCCACTTACGCTATTATCATCCCTGTTCTAGAAACCAGGAAACCGAGTCACAGAGTGGTTAATGCTGGGCCCAGAGTCCTGTATCTTGCAAAAGTTAGAGCCAGGATTTGAATCCCAGAAGTCTGAGCACAAAGTTTCTGTGCTCTCAAGCTCTATGCTGTATGTACCTCATAAGTCCATGGAGGCTCTTGTTCTATTCAGTCTATAATTTTTTTTTATTTTTATGCCATATATATTTCCCTAGTAACAATTAAACTTTAAGGGATTTAAATATCGGGGCTGGGGAGATAGCTCAGAGGCGTAAGCACTACCTGTCAAGTGCAAGGACCTGAGTTTGATCCCTGGCCCTGCATGCCATGTTGGCCCCAGAACCCTAGGCTTGATGGCTTATGCCTGTAATCCCAACTCTCAGGAGGTTGAAACAGGAGGATCGCTGTGAGTTTGAGACCAGCCTGTGGGCTACAAATGTGAGCTCAAGGCCAGCCCGAACTGTATAGTGAGACCCTGTCTCCAAAAAAAGAAAAAAAAGAAAAAGAAAAAGAATTTTAGATATTGATTTCTTGTATAATATGGATTGGAGAACAATGCTGTTCAATAGGATTTGCTATGATATGAATTGTTTTACATTTGTGCTTTCTAATACTGTTGCCACTAATAACATGTAGCTATTTTGAGCCTTTGAAATGTTGTTACAGTTCCTCTCTGACTGCATTACTAAAGCATAAGCATTAAATTTTTATTTAACTTTCATAGCTATAATCCCAGTACTCAGAAGGCTGCAAATTCAAAGCCTGTCTGGGCTACGTAAGTTCAAGGCCAGCCTGAACCACACAGCAAGATGCTTCCCTCTCAAAAAAATTAGTTAATTTTAATTAATTTAAATGTAAAGACCCACCTGAAGTTAGTGATTTCTGTATTAGAACTATAAGCTGATAATAAATATTTGAACAGTATGTACAGTAACTCCTTATGTTTCCTGGACCCATAATCTATCTGTTCAGCTACTGCTTGTGGACCTCAGAAATGCACAACAAAGAACTCCCACCCCTGTATTCCATTGTACAGCCCTGGACTTCTGGTTTCATCCCTTTCTAATTCTTCCCAGCTCCCCCTTCATCTGTCTCCTTGACCCCAGTACCACTTTCTAGAGATAAAACCTCCCATTCATGTTCACTTACAGCCTTAGTTTTTTCCTGTGAAAGCTTGGAGCAAAGGCAGAGGGAATGGGACTCCAGGCATGTATATTTCACCCCTTTCCGCTAAGGCTGTGAGAGTTAGAATTCTCTGCATGTAAATCTGATAATACTATGGAAATAGCAGTATCTGCTGTATTTCACTGTAGGATCCAAAACTCTTGAGCCGTTATGAGGGAAAACAGCTGAGAGTCGCTGCTTAGCTCTACAAGTAGGGACTATGCATGCATCCATGAGGTGTATCTTGAATTCTGATTAAAACATATAAAGATTATGCACCTGTTATATTAATTTAAATACTGGACTCATGATACCACTTGACATTTTTAAGAAAACTTTTGACTTATGCTAAGAAACATAAGAGTATTTTTCTCTAACAGACAACAAAAGAAAGCTAATAATGTGTTTCCTAAGGGAAGATATTTACATTAAAAATTCTATTAAAGATACTGATTTTCGTAGCTATAAAATAGGAATGATTATTGTGTATGAGATTATTAGAATTAAAATGAAATAGCAGTCAAGTTCTATTTCTAGGAGCTGTTATTTTTTTTGATTGATGATTACAGTTTTTGGGGTAATTCCAATTTTGGAGGTTACTTCTTTATGTAACCAAAAACTAAGACTTCACCAGGACAATATGAAAAAAAAATACAGGCATAGTAGATTTCCATAGTAATTCAAGAGCTACAATAGGAGAGTTCTCTTAAATTTAAGACTGTGAAAAAGAGTAACTTTTAACAAAAATAAAAGCTCTCTTTATGCTACCATGGAGCATGGAGTGGGGAGTAACTTTAAGGAGCTTCTCCTTCAGCTCTTTTGTTTTACAGCTACAAGCCAGTGACCCTAAGCACCTAGGGCCGGTCAGGACACAGAGGAACATCAGGGCATGTTCAGTGGTCTGCTGAGGTTAATAGTAAGCCACACATTATGTTAGGAAAGAAAATTATCACATGAAATAGCCAGAACAATACATATGACATGTACAGCATCACATGGTAAATATAGTAATTCCCTCTTCTCTGTAAGAGATACATTCCAAGATTTCGGGGGGATTGCAGAACCATATGTATGCTATGTTTTTTTCCTACACATAACTGTTAGTTAGCTTTCCATCCCTATAACCAAAGACCTGAAATAAATTAACTTATAAAGAGAAAAGATTTATTTTGCCTCCCAGTTTTGGAGGTTCCTTTTCTGGATAGGGCACACTCATTGCTTTGGGCTTCTGTGGGTGTCAGATGGTAAAGACAGGAAGTACAAGGGCTGGTGAGATAGCACAGATTAGGCAAGGGCAGAGACCGGGGTTTGATCCCCAGTAACACATACCACACTGGACCTGCCCTTGGGCACGCTGAGCTGGCGACTGAGTCCAGGCGTGGTGGCACACTTCTGTAATCCCAGCACTGAGGAGGCTGAGAACAGGAGGATCACTATGAATTGGAACTGTGTACTGAGACCCTATACTAAATACATAAAATTTAAAAAAAAAAAAAAAAGGAAGTACATGGAGAAGCAAGCTGCTCAGCTTGTGGAAGCAAGAGAAGAAAAGTGTGTTGGGGAGGTATCCCACAGTTCTTTGCATCAACATGGTCCAGTGACTTAATCCACTGACTATAAAGCCCCACCTCCTAAAGATCTGTAGCAGCTCCCAGTATCACCAGACCAAGTCCTTTACATGTGGAAGTGTGCCGGAAAAGTATCCAAACCACAGCACATACATCTCTAGGGCCATGCTTACTATATCAATAACACATAGTAGGAAATGAACAGTAATAATAAAACAAGTTAACAAAGTACTGTGCTATAGAAAACACGTGAATGTGGGCTGATTCCAAATACCTTGTTGTGTATATCATTCTTATGAGGATGTGAGATATTACAAAGCCTAAAGGATGAAACAAAGGAGATGAATGACAAAGTGTGTCGCACATCTGATAAACAGGCCATAACTTTTGCAGTTTGAAGTATGGAGCAAAATTGGCACACAATTCATTTTCTTTCTCCATAATTTCTCAGGTAGAAGATGTGTTCTTATATACACACTAGCAAAGTCAGCGTGTGGTTCTTTTCCTTTCCTTAAGAACTGTCACATTTTCACTTACGATTTGTTACTGGCATTTCTGAGTTGCTGCCATCACTGTCCTTGTGTTTTAGGGTCATATTAAGATCAGGGTTATTGAACATAAGCACTGTGACAGTGCAGTAGTTGATCTGATAACCTCGATGACCCCCAAGAAATTAATAGGTTGAGTACAGGCAGAGGGATGTTTCACGTGCTGAGCAGAAGAGATCTGCGGGACAGTGGAAGGTCTGACCACACTGCTGAGAACAGCTTGCACATTAAAATTTACACACTATTTATCTCTGGAACTTCCCGTCTTATGTTTTTGGACCATCTTTGACTCCAGGTAACTGAAAATGAAACTATGGATAAAGTGTAATTACTGGATATTTTTATTAATTCCCTAAAATACAGTTATCAGAATGTTAAAATACTGTGGTTCTTTTACCTATAAAGTGTAATAATGGGACATAGCTTAGAGGTTATTAAGCAAATTCTGTATGTATCACAGTCACCCATTGTAAACTTAATCCAAACATTTTAGGCAATAAGAGGTAATTTTTAAAAGACTGACATTGGCAAAAATAGAGTACGATCTCAAAACCTGTACATATGCTGCCATCCTTTGTACAGAGCCTGAGGTTATGAATGTCCTTCTATATAAATAGTAAGTATTTCATACATGACAGGCAAACCTTAAAAATGTTCTCACTGTTCCTTCAAATATCAGTAAGATTATCACATAAAAATATTTAATATTTCTAAGGACATACATTTCTTTTTCATCCTCAGTGTTTTCCCAACCAACTCCCATAGCAGAAATTCCCATGCTGTAAATACAGCTTTTTTAAACTTTATTGATCTGTTTGGTGGTTAGAATATGTTGTGAGAAGAGCAGAAGGGCAGGGGACATAGCTCAGTGGCATAAGCACCTGCCTGGCAAGTGCAAGGTCTTGAGTATGATCCCTGGAACCAAAAAAGGAGAAGGAGAAGGAGAAGAGGAAGAGGAAGAGGAAGAGGAAGAGGAAGAGGAAGAGGAAGAAAAAGAAGAAGAGCCAGCGAGATAGCTCTGCGACTAATCGCTTGCTTAGGCAAGCACAGGGACAGGGATTTGATCCCTAGCAATTGAAACTAGGTATGGTGGTGCGCCCCTCTAATCCCAGGGCCAGGGAGGCCAAGCACAGGAGGATCACTAGGAGTCTGAGCAGTATAATGAGATCCTGTACCAAATACATTTTTTTTAAAAAAGACAGAACATACCTTTCTTTTTATCTTTAAAAGGAAGATAATAGTGGGAATGTTCCTCATCAACATTCTGGTGTTGCAGAGATAGTTTGTTCAAATAGATTAAATGTTTTTCCATAAAACTATATGGTGAATATGAAACTACATTCCAGATAACTGCTATCTTAACCAAGAAATTATGTGCCTCATCTAATTCCACAATTGCACAGAGATATGGGGTAGACTTCTGTATGTTCCTCAG